ATTATAAGAATATCCTTGATGAAAAAACATCAACTCGATTAACCCTAATCGGTGATTCACTGTCAACTGTGAGTGCTCAATTCTACTAAACAGCAAACGCGATTTGTCATCAGTTCCACGGCTGATTAAATAATTGGCGTTGGTGACCGGCCCAAATGGTGGTTCTACACGAGAAACATGCACGCTTAGCGCTTTTTTTACCTTTTTTTGAAATTTATATATTTGGCAAACAAACCTCCCTGCTGAGTATTGGGATCGTCTCGTGTGACTTTATACTGCCAAATTTCACTAACGCTCGTCACGAGATAGCCCTCCTCGATGGCTTTGCGTAATTCGCAGAATACCCAAGTACCTTCGAATTCACGCTCGTCGGGACGATCGTGAGTGCACGTTTCCTGCGAGAAAATTTCGCAGCAGCTTCGACACAGTGCGAAAAGCAGTTTTCCTCTTACTCGATACGGGAGTACCGGATGAAAGAGATTACGCGGCGGGAGTACCTTGCAGCGTACAAGACCTTCGACCGAGTCAAAATTAAAATTTGGCGCTTCACCAATTAACTCGTTACACTCCTCACCACTAAATATCGGGGTGACCGTATGGGAAAGCACCCGGTTTCAATACATACGGATACAAAGAGCATACGTCCACATAACGTATTTTCTCTGTACCCGTAATTTCGTATCGGGTAGCGATCTTTCTCGTACGACCGCCGAAAAACGCATCGCGCGGGTCGAGAGGATCAGATTTTAATAGCGTGTGATTCTTGAGAAAATCACGCATCTCAAGATTTTCATGCATTTCCCGGTCAAAGTTTTCCTCCCATTTCTCTATCACGTGATATCCCCGTTTTTGTAGACGATATGTCGATGCAATAGTTCGTTCGTAACACGTCGATCGTATCTCCACGATTCATGGACGAAAGCGTTCTGTCGCGATTCACCTGAAAGCACGTCGGACAACCATGCCAGAAACATCCGTGGAATTGTAGTACGTAACGCTGTATTCCGTCTGCCGATTCCGACTCGTAGTATTCGTCAACGCGCCTGCCATCAATCTTGTACTCGCGCGCTCGTTCCGCGTGAATTGTACGATGACCGAGCTCACGCTCCTTCCACACTAATCACTTTAAGGCTTTCCGCGATTGTTTATCCGCATTTCTATATCCGCCCGGAGGAATGATTCCTATTTCTTTCTCGCGCAAAAAGTTTTTGCGAAAAACTTTCATGCACGAGGAAGCGATAGTTGTACATTCCTCGAACGGACACACATTATCACGTTCCAAAAAAATTTTTCTAAACGCCTTGCATGCGCGTCGAAGAATTTCTACGTCATTACTATAATATTTTACTATTTTATGTTGAAAATTAAAAATAAAATTTGCGCGTATCATCTCATCATGCCAGTTTGTAAATCGCATTCGTTCTTCGGGCTTCATTTGATCGGGAGAATAATATCGCGCGTCAGGTATCGGACCGATATACGATTGATTCTCCCTCGTATTGAACAGGAAAGTTGCCTTTGTCCGACGTATCCTTCAGCCCGAAAGCTTTGGGTGAATCAGCCAAACGCATCGGTAAATAATTGACACTATCTATAAATTTCGTATTCCCGACCGTCATTACGATAATCTTCGTCCCGTTCAAAATTACCCGCGGTTCTTCCATAATTTCGGATTCTTCTACTAAATACTTTAAAATGAATTGCGCGTCGAACGCGTTCGCATTATGAGCGATACAAATAATCTTTTTAAAACATTTTGTCGTTCGCGTTACGAGTTCGACAAACTGTTTCACGGGGCTATCTCGAAATATAAACTCGCGTACTCCGCACCAACGACATCGCACCAACATATCGTCTATCTCCGCGCAAGTTTCTCAAATCTGATGCGCGACGCAGAGAGTTGGAACGTGAATTTTTACGTTCTCGGTACCTTCATAAGTCTCGTCCTGTCGCGTTTCAAAATCGTAGAACACGAATGCGACGCGGTCTCTTTTTTTGTCTTTGACTTTGGGCTCATTCTCACTTGCATGTGTCACGTCTTCCTGTATCGTCGCACTACTCGTACCCTCACCCGGATTCTCAGTAACGACTTTACATCGAAGAGGTCGCATGAAGCAGGAATGATTTGAAGGCTGAAGCGATCGACATGTTCTACAATAGGATATTTCGCATTCGTGTTTTGAATTTAACTTTACGAATCGCCCGCAATCGTTACAAATTTTAACCTATTCGCAAACGCTTGCGGAGGATTGATCGTTGTAAGATCTTTCCTCACGATGACGTTCGAAACACGTGGTACCGAAAAACGCACGATTACACGGTTGACACCTAATTAGCTGCGCGTCGGGGGATTCACACGACGGAATCGCGTGGCAACATGGGCATTTTTTAATGCAACGGTGACCTCTATCTTTACGATAGCCCATATTGCACGCGACGCAATATCCCCCGCGAGAACCAGCAGCGGCTTTTACGTTTAATATCGGGTTGAAATGACGCTTACGTTCATAGTACCTTATGTACAGTTTAATACTCGGTTCGCGTCCTAGAGAGTCAAGTAACGTGCAACCGTCATATACCAGATTCTCACCGCGCCCGAAAGTACTAAAATTGAACACAATTATTGCTATATTTTCGGTAGCGAGGTAACGTTGAAAAAGCTCGATTTCACACGTACCGCATCCCTGCTCGGGAATTGTAACGCCAGCGTTCCTCGTTAGTTCTTTCGCTAATTCGGATTGTAACGAGGAGCTCTGTCGTCTTATGCAATTCCATTTTTCATGGAGTTCACTCATACGTAGATTTCCTCGTTCACAATGTGCTCGTGCCACTACGAGGGAACGTGGAAAACACATATTATCAGAATTATTTAATTGCAAAATCGAGCGTTTTGCTACGTCTTCGCGTGTTAGTCGATTTGCTCTACCACCACGTCCCGCAGGTGCAGCAACGTTAAAAACGCGTACATCGAAATTTTCCGCGATATCGAGCCCTCCGGCACTTTGAGCTACTGAACTCACGAGTCGCTATATGTCCTCGGAAGTTAAGTCGCGCACCTGAAGAAACGATAGTCCTGCTGCATGCGTTAAATTTGGCGAATCGAACGATAAACCTACGTAATCGCCCGGTTCGCACGAACGTATCGCATACGCGTAGATTTCGCGGAACGCGTTTTCCAGCTAGCGAACGGTATCCTCACCTTCGGGTATTGGACGTATCACGAAACTAGCTTCTCTCCCGAGCATGCCGAAATTTCTAAAGCGTCGCGAGTTTTCCGTCCGTAAATCTACGAAATTAAAATTATCGCCAACCTCGTGTTGTCGCTGATGCTGCTGTTGTTGATGTTGATATTGCCGGTGTTGATGAGGCTGCTGCTGGTGATGCTGCTCCACGTTGTTTGCAGGGTTTTCCTCCCTTTCGTTTGCCGAAACAACGTTAGCACTGCCGCTACCATCACCACCACCACCACCACCAGTTTGTACTGAAAGATTAAGAAAATTTTGTTATATATATTTCGGTTTAAATAGAATAAATTATGTTAGAATATTAGGACTGATTGCGATGCTTAAAATTCCAAAATTTTATAACTACAGCGATATAAAATTTTATTTATTTTTAAATGTGTAACAGGATAATGAAGAGAAAAAAGTGAAGATATTGAGTGTGTGAAAATTGAAAACATCGCGAACAGATCTTTTATCACACCCCCGACATAGCGACTATATTTAGCATACTATGGCAACTCACCTTTAGTTGTTTTATTCAGTCACGCGAAATTATCCGGCTTTCGAATATTATTTCTAATGATTCGATTCACTCGATACCGGCGTGTATGAAATATCTAATAATAAAAAGTTCATACATGAAAATACATTACGGTGAAAATAAATTAAAAGATTTAGTATAGAATATTATTACCTTCAACACACACACACAACACACACACAACATCAATGGGGGGTAGTCTCTAGCATCCTCCTCCTCCTCCTCCTCCCCCTCCCCCTCCTTCCCCCTCCTCATTTTCCTCCTCCTCCTCCTCTGCAACTTCTTCCTCCTCATCCTGTTCTTCTTCTTTTTCTTCTTCTTCTTCACTCTCTTCTTCTTCATTTTCACGTGCTGTAAAGTAACATTTCGTTATTATATATTATATTGTATAAACTTGCTATGGGATTATTTTGCCAACTATTTAAAACTTACCTCGTGGCGAAATATTACGGTATTCTTCTTCAGCTGGGCTGGGCGCACGAAAAGCTGCGATTTCCTGCGAATCATCATCTAAAACAAAAATTATATTTTTTCATTAATATTATATTTCTAATTATACAAAAACTGATTTTATAGGGAGATATGTTTTAAAAATTCAACTTACCGGGTGATAATATAATCACGGGTATGTTCCGCTCGTTACGTGGAATATCCCGTACGGCCTCGATTCGTGCTCTTCCTAGAAAATTTGATATTTTAATAGACGAAATACATAATTCAATTTTTAATTTTATTTCTAATTAGTTTTTATTATTTTCCAACTTACGTGGTGGTACGACTTCATCGAGCGCTTCTGCAGCAGGTCGTCGTCGTCGTCTCAAACTGAGACGACTTACCGGACGTCCCCGACGATGTGAAATCGCACGTCCTACAATACAATTTGGTTCTATGAAAATATTAGAATTTAATGAAACAAATTTTTAGTGAAATTTTATATTTGATTTTTAAAAAATTATATTACTGCTTACCTCTTACTGCAACGCTTGAAATCGGCTATGTAGCCTCCGGCATCATCTTCTTCGTGGTCATAGAAGTCACGCACTTCCAAATGTTCCGAGATGATACTCCTCAATCTTAGATCACCGCCACAATGCTCCAGCTTGTACATAATACAAAGTAATGTACTGGAGCACCTCCCCGCGAAATCCCCGAAAACCGAATAATTAGTTTCGTCATTATCTGTGAACTTTGACAGATAATTAACTGCCACTAACTTTCCCTTTAAGTTGCAAGCGATGGTGACGAATTTCGTAAGTAATTCGCGAAGCGCCATTTTTACTGTTCACGAAACTTCGATACTTCAAAATTTCTAGCGCAAAACAACTCTTGACAGAGTCTCGACGTAGAAATAGCCCTTAACTTTCTCACTACGCACTATTTATACACCAATAATATTCAAAAAAATTCCCCCTCCCAAAAGGCAGAATCGGTGAAAATTTCTGGTTACGTCATCGACTAGTAAATTTTGACAATTTTACCGATTGGTTCCCCAATTTCCTTCCTTTTACATGAAAAGATTTTCTCGAAAAGTTCACAGAGTTTGAGTCGATAAAAACTTTTTTAGTTACATCCATCATATTTTAGACCTTTGACGAATTACACCCTTTTTTGTGTGATCATTTTGAAAGCATCTCTCCACCATCACTTACCTTTGGAAAATTTTTGTAAATCAAGTGTCAGAATATTTTCCTTTATCCCGAAAAAATTTTTTTAATTTATTGCTTCTTTATAAACGAATTCTTGACAATATATTCAATTTTTACGAGTTCGAATATATTTATGACACGTCCGAACATTGAAATATTTCCGCTTTGTAACTTTGAGAAAATTCTTTCCTAAAAAGTAACCTTTTGCTCTGATCCCTGTTATTAATTTGCAAAACAAATTAAAAGTATGACTAAATTAGGCTAGTGAGAGTCAAGCAACGGTGAACGGCGCAAAGATAGGTGAAAACCATACTCAGATGTTAACTTAAAGTCTTCTGTATTTGGACGTTTCGACTCTCTTTGGAGTCATCCTGAGCAATAAAGTTACAATATGATTGACTTACAGGTCCTCGATGATTAAGTCACTCGCAAATTGGAAAGGATGCAGCGTTGTTAATCTAACAATTACACAATTTTCTCATTAGATAATGCCTGAGTTCACAACATTAATTGACTTACCACCATAGGACATGAAGCGTGTCGCGAAGCCACATAATAATCATAAGAACTCATAATTAAATATAATAAATTTAAATGATATCGATATCTTCAACTGTCAGTATACATTGACATGTCGCTCGGAATTGAGTTGTTCTCGAAGTAAGAGGTCAACATGTACGAAAACAATAAGGCAAGCTTATAAACTTCAAGATGAATTCGCATGTACATATTCCATTCGCCAATCAAAATCGCAAAAAATTTTAAAAATCGCAGAAAATTTTTTTTAATGTAAAAAATTAGGATCGTAAAAATTAAATTAATAATCAGAACAGTACCATATTAATAAATAACAACTATATAAACAATTATTTCTTAAAACTAATACATTTTCGTCGAATGAATAAACTTTGAATAACTTAAATTAACATAAAACATTTTCGTCAACAAATAAAACATGAATAATTTAAATTAACACATCCACAATTAAATTAAATTAGGAGAAACTTTCTAACATTGCTGCATAAGTGTAATGCAATCCTTCCGTATCGGAACGTAAATTAAGGCCATTATTTTGCATTTGTATAAATGCCATTTCCAAAATCAGTCTTTTTTCCAAAAATTTCTCCTTATCCAAAATTCTGACATTCTCCCAATCGAAATCACGCGAAAATTCAATAATTCGGATACCAAATTAAATAAATAATATTGGTCGACTCAATCATAACTTTTGAATCGTAACGAATATCGATTTGCCCTTTTAGCACAACATTCTAGACAGTTATAGCTATCGAAATCCGCAAAAAAAAATTTCGATTTTTTTTTGACCCAACAAACGAGACTGGACCCTTAACACATCCACAATTAAATTAAATTAGGAGAAACTTTCTAACATTGCTGCATAAGTGTAATGCAATCCTTCAGTATCTGAACGTAAATTAAGGCCATTATTTTGCATTTATATAAATGCCATTTCCGAAATCAGTCTTTTTTTCAAAAATTTCTCTTTATCCAAAATTCTGACATTCTCCCAATCGAAATCATGCGAAAATTCAATACGATGGTCAGTAATCGCAGAGTGGCTG